TACCTCTAAACGATCAACTGTGGGACACGAAGGTGGCCCACCGCGAGTGTACTAAGATATAGACTATGTGGTTTGACGTGCAGCCATCGCTTGGATAACACGTTTGCAACTGCCGAGGGGGGGGTGTGTTGGAAACGGGTGTGTATAACGACGAGAAGATTATTGACAGCAATTGTCATCAATCGTTCTATGTTGTCGCAATGTTGGCCCAGTCCGTATTTTCCGATGATGTGTCTCCGTCTCATCGTTCGGGCCACTCCTGGCATTCCAGTATCCAGCGGCGAAGAGCTAGTCTGTAGGGGTCATCCTGACAACTTTAGCTGGAATGTGTTCATCAAGCTCAGTCCCTACTCCTTCACCCGCTTGCAATGGTGGGACGAAAACGACAACTACACAGATAACTGCTGCAGTGCTGTCGAAGCGGGCTGCGGCAATCCGCCTTGGGATAGGCGAGGTCACTGACATGAAATTTTCTAATTTATCACTTATCCTCCATAGGATCAAAGGGCGAGCGCGTATAAGTTCGCGCGTGTTCGCCGACTCTTGGCTCTAGGGGGGTGTTCGCTGACCCTTGGCGAGGTCACTGAGGCCAACCTTTTTAACATTACCACTAACCGCACTGGACCAACGGCGAGCACGTGTAAGTTGGGGATGTTTGGCGACCTTTGGCGAGGTACGCGGTTGACGGAAAGGGTGGAGCGGGTTTCCGCGGAATGGGGGCAGGGCAACCGAGGCAATGATTGGGGGAAATAGGCGAAAAGTGCGAGTTGGAGGGACTAAAATTGGCGCGCGAACCAACTCCTGCATCTAAGTCGAGACGTGCCGCACGATAAATAGTATGCCTTCTGAAAAGCAGGAAGTAGTTTTTTCAGTTTAAAAAAATATGCTTAGCCTCACTAATCCTACTTGCCAAAATTTGTAAGTAGGTGGTTATACTACATAGGTACCCTTCGAACGCCCCAATACATACTCTTACGAAAGCCTATACACTAACAGTATATACGATTTTTGTATACAAATGCTCCAAGCCTCCTTTCGGAAATCGAAAAACTCAAGGCGCCAGTGCCAAAGTGATTCCGTAATGACCCTGCTATAATGGAAACGTCATTCATAAACGAAGTCGCGACTCCCAAGTTTTCGAAACATGGATGCCATTTCGTTCGTAGAGGAATTTTAAGAAATCTAGGATGATATTGTAGTCATAATAGTACAAAACCTGCAATTTCCGATGGAATACAGACCAGTGCACATCCCGAACGCAGCTGAATTGTCGTCCTTTCCTTTGGTCTATGACGTAGCTAGTCACAGGAACTGCGTACTACTGAGATATCGCCGCACTTGCAATAGACTGCAAACATTCACAGTTGACGGATCGCCAACATTCTTCGACCGTATGCTGATGGAGCTCACACTCGATTTAGAGACAACCAGAGAAGCAGTTGCCGGCACACGGGTTTTACATAAGACACCTCTAATATTGATGAAAGCTATTCCAGTGCATAGTAGGCTACTGGGATAACTCATTCTAATGAAAACGCCAGAAGAATGCAGAAGGGCAGCGAATTATACAGAATACACATTCTGAACGGTCGAGAATATGTGAGGACCCGGTAACTGAATAGAAGAAGGTAAAACGTGGGAGGATTCGAAATGTCGGACATGTATACCCCTGGTCCCAGAGAACGCTTTACCTTCTTCTGTTCAGAATACACATTTCAACACAATAAATTGCCTATGCGCGTCGCTGAATTGAAACTATTCGTTCAAGATGATCCAGAGGGCGGCTGGCGATCTATTAACACTATTTCATATATTTAAGTGCTGTTGTCTAGTGAACTTACAAAGTAATGACATGTCACCCGGCTTACTTAAAAAAGAGCTGAACACGTATATGAAGAAGGGAAAAGTGGAAGATATTCAGGGAAACTGGGTCACCGGAACAACTCGAGGAAGCTCGACAATAAAAGCATGTGGTCAAAAAGTGGGTCCGACAGACATGCATGAAATAGGAATGAAGAATTTTCAATTAGGCTGAAAACAAGACTAAGATTTTATTTCGCTGCATTAATGTTCAACTATAAAGAAGGACCCAGTCGCAATTCTTCGGGGATGTCACTGAGGACTACAATCAATTTAAGGCGTGGTTGTTGGCTATACTGCAAAGTCACTATCCGCTGTCAGTGCGCGGGATATCAAACCGACCTCATTGGCTGACAAGCGATCGAAAAAGAGAGATCAATCAGAAGAGGAGTCTTTGTAAAATGTTATGCGGAACCAACCATCATGAAGCTTTAAAAGAATATAAAATTCAGCAGAAGATAAAAAAATTGGTCTTCAAAAGACGACGGAATTTGAGAATGATTTGTTACACGGAGCAGTCAGAATGCCGGCAAAACTTTTTTGTTAGGCTGCTTTCATTATCTATTTCCCCCAACCAGCTGTCTTACGTATTTTGTGGTCAAACATTTAATTCTTAGTTAGAGCGTGTAAATGAATATAAAATTGTGATGGAATTGATCAAAAATATCAAAGGAATTTATATTTGTGTCGATGTACTAAATTGAAGCAACTCCTTGCGTATATCCTCCTGTTGCTCAGGATACCCTTAACAGTTAAGGGAAATTCAACCTTATATTGGCACTTGACTGTGAGTCTGCCATATTTTGAGATTATATAAAAATATGGAAGATCATTAAGAGTGCTGTCAATGAAGAAGACTTCCAGGAAAATCTTTGTCGATTAAACGATTGGTCACGCAGATGGCTCTTGTCCTTCAATTCAAACAAATGAACGCTGCTGGGTCTGGAAAATCGAAATCCGGTCGTGGATGTGCGATCACACTATCTGAACCCAATCGCACTCGTTGGCTCTTAAACTTCAACATTAGTAAGTGTGTGGTTTTAAGACTCC